AGATTACTTACTCAACCATGTATGTATGCAGATCACCAGTGTAGATAGAGCTTAGGGCTTTTCTGAAGGGTTGTTCTCAACATGAAAGAGTGGTTAAGGCTTTAAAGACTCTACCTACCTTACTGAGCTTGGAGTTGAGTTCATATCATCTAATACCTCTTAGTGATTTGCTGGACTACTAGAGCACTTCAGCTGGAATATATAACAATGAGCACAATAACATAAGGTGAAGAGCAGAAATATCAGTTCAATTAAGCATCTGTCTTAAGTTACTTCCATTTGCCAGTGACTGAAGTCTGGCTGATTGCAAGTTCAAGTTCTCAGCTAACTGGTCTTTTGGCTCCAAATTCTTTGCTTTTATGGTGGATTGCAGTCTGTAGCTAATTACAGCCCTGTCCCCCACCTCTCCCCCCAAATGCTGTTGTATAGAACATATCAGACCAAAAAACATGGGAGATTTTAAGAGCTGTAAAATAGCTTTCAGTAACAACCAACACATATGCTTTTTATCGCTGTAAACTCCCATTTTTGACAATCCATATTACCCCAACAACTATGTAAGGTTTCTGCTTTAGCAGTAATAAAGAGAGTTTCAGCTCAAAGCAGAATCCCCTTGACTTCAGGAGCACTTTTGAGTGGAGATTTGTGGGTGGAAAGATCTGTCCTCAGAAGAACAAGATTTTAAGTTAGATCAACGCCGCAGAAAAAAATATGGACTCAGTCAGAGATCAGTGTGATCAGAAAAAAGCCGTTTAATACAAACCATCTATCCTTTTTATACTGTTGCCTGCATCTGCTTACAATAGCTTGCTGTATTATAATCGGATACATATTCTTGTAGCACACAGCAACTACAGCTACATATACAATAGCTTGCTGTATTATATTTGGATACATATACAAGAGCTTGCTGTAGTATCATTGGAAACATAGACAATAGCTTGCTGTATAATAATTGGATACATATACAATAGCTTAGTATATTATACTTTGATACATATTCTTGCAGCATACAGCAACTAGTATACAATTAATCAAATAAGTATATGGGAACTTAACCTTTAAAACTTGCTAACAGTTCACTATTTTGTATCTTAGCACAGTCCAGTTTCTTCTTATCTTGCTTGCACCATTATTTTTGCTTCCTCACTCACGTCCTCCTTCATCCTCGGTTCATGTCGAGCTCCAGGTAAGCACTTGCTGACGTGGGAATGTGACCATTCTTTGCTAAAAATCCATCCACAGATCAAGATTCTTCAGAGGTAATTAAATGAATCATTGTGAACAATATACACACCTCTCGCTCGGGATTGCCAACATAAAGATGTAAAATGAATATTCGTTTTTTGTTTACAATATTTCTTTTCAAGATCACCAGCAATCTTGGAAGACAACCTGGGACCACATATGATAAAAACAATAAATTTTAGCAATTACTTCAATTGTTTCAAAAGTAGAATGCACTTCAATTAATAATTTTTTATTGTTATGTTTCAGTATTTTACAGTATGAAGTGCACAGTTGAAAAAGCACTGAATATGAGAATAGAGCTATCTTCAGCACGTGGCTTGGATCTTTGTAGTTAGTTCAAGGTTCTCAGTGATGTGAATGATGCTCATGTGACTGATTTCCATGCAAGCTGGACTAGAATCTATAGCTCTGATTCATTACAGCACCTTAGTTCATAAGTAGGACAGCACCATTCAAATGACTGTAGTCATCTGCTTAACATTAAGCACACACTTAGTCCAACAAAACATCCAAGTGTTTTCTTGGATTAATGCCTATGGGCAGAATGGCTCTACATGAGCTGTATCCACCAAAAGAGAATGAAAGCAAGCAAGTTAAATTAATGGTGGGAAGGGCACAGCTGTCTGCTTTATACGCGGAAACTATCTACGTGCCCACGGAAGATATTAAGACTACCACATATGACAAAGAGTAGACCAATTTCCATCATACAGCAAAAGTGACTAGCATAATACAATAAAACTTTTACTACAGAAGAAGGGTTTCCCACTACTAATTTTATACAACCTTTTCTATGAGTGGTCTTAGCAAATAGCATGGATTGGTGTGCAGAGTTAAATAATCTGCTTTCTCTATCCTAATATATGCTTGAATTTCGTAATGGTTTTGTTTTCCTACAATTTGGGAAGAAAAATATAACATCCCTACAATTGTGTAACAATACTGTTTAAAATGCATACCTTTTTGGTTTTTAAAACATGTAAATGTTAATGCTGCAATAAAAGCAGCTATTGTTGGTAGATGAAAATATTTACGAGAAACATTCTTAAACATGGTCAGTATATTATATGCTTCAGCTTTAATTTACATCTGTAACTAGGGTTTTAAGGAAAACAGTTTATTCAGTGGGCTAGTAATTTTGTTTTTAAAGTAACATACAGAGGTGCTTTGAGATGTTCAGATTTTATATAACAACTAAAAAGGGAATTAAACACTGGCAAGAGATGCACAAAATTGCTTTCATCCTTTGTTTTCACATTTGCCAGCTTGCTGTGCGCTTTGCAGAGATCACTGTACCAAAATGCTATTTCACCTGTTAAGATGATTCACACTAGGGAAGCATTTTCTTATATTTTTATCAAAATGAGCTTATATTTCTTTTGCCCATTTGAATATTACCATTAGACTGCTAATTCACACTTTGGTAAAAGGGTCAGGTGTATTCAATTTTTTGATGACTTGTTATTAGCATGAAAGAGAATTTTTAATAACTCTTGTAATTTGCCACAGCAGCTTCACCATCCAGTGCCTTTATATGTTTTATAAAACAAAACTCTGGAAGGATTAATATTTCAAGTCATTAAGCCTTTCAGGTTTAAGTATAGCCTTTATTATGGTCGTCAAAATGGAGGGTGTCATACCTCAGTAATAGCACCTTTGTATGCTTGGCACTCACTATTTATTTCAAATAGAAATACAAGCAATAATGCTTTTTACATTAACATTTGAAAGTATATAGACATTGCTTACAATAAGATACCCGTCAGCATGGTTTCTCCCCTGAAAATAAACTGAAATTCTTAATAGGCTTTGTGGCAGCAAGAAATAAGACAACAGTGGTTTTCCAAGAGATCTAAAATATTAGCACCGAGTACTAAAAGTGGCATAAGAATCAGTTTGTTGGATTTGGACAGTGTCTCAGGAAGAAAACTATTTGATCAGAGCTCGTATAAAGTAAGGATCAAATCATCTCAGTTGATGAACTGATTGATGATGACAGCTGGTTATCTCTAGTCCAGCACAAGCAAAGAGAGAAGCTTGGTAGATACTTGCTGTGTGTTAAGGGAATTATATCACACAGACATGCCATATGTGCTGACAGTGAGGATAATGAGAATAAAATATCATTTCTTCTACTGCATTGACATCAGATCAGATCTTCCATCCTTGTAAATTGTCCCAGTTACACTGCCCATAATGAAGGTATGGACATGTGCAACTACTGCAGAAGATATGGCCTATAAATTAGTTAATCCTGAAGAGTGTTTATAACCCAAATGGGGGCAATAACATAATTGGGAATTGACAAGCCTTCTGTTTGTTTCACTCATGTAATTAATTATAAAAGAACTGTAAGACAACAGCCTTATCTTCTGCCCTTTTCAATGTTCTTTCACATGTGAAAAGCTTAATGATATAGTTGAATATAATTTCTATTGCATCTAAAGCTCATTTATATTGCTAAGCAAAATGATTCTCTGTTTAGGGTTCACTGAGGATTTACAAGGTTTGGGTGGGCTCTGCTGTGAGTTTTCTTCTCCATCTTCTAAAAACAGGACTGAAGAAGAATGAGGATTTAAAAAAAAAAAGAAAAAAAAAGAAAAAAACAAAGATGCCTGATCAAAAACACAGGATTAATTCCCAGGCAGATGTCCATAATTGTAGGAGGAAAATCCCAGACAAACAGCTGAAAGAGGCTCTTGAGTTACACAAAAGGTATTTACCTCACCAGAAACAAAGAGGACCCACTCTTTAACGAATAGGCAGTAGGAGCTTGGCACGATTTGGAAGTGTAAAGATCATGGCAACTCATGCTCTGCCAGCTCCCTACCCACATGGACCATGTCTGAACTGAAGAGCCTTGTACCATTTCTACATTTGGACAAGAGTCTTTTTCTAGTCCTGTGGCAACACAAATCTCCCTCTGAGGAGGGAGCTGCACATCTCTGAGCTACCATGCCTTCCACTGGCAACAGCTCCAGTTGTCAGTATGTTGCTGTATAGCTTGTCATTTGACAGTATCTCTGACCAGTGGTCAAAGCGAGGAGGATTTCTTTTCCCCATTTCTAAATACTTTTAGATCTGGATCAGCTTAAGTGATTCTTCCCCTTGTAAATGATTCAATATAAAAGATACGGGCCGCCAAAGCCTTCAGGCTAGAACTCCTGTTAGTTTAAAAACTGGTTTAGGTCACTCTTGTTTTAAGTCGGTGATGGTGGGGGGAACATGGTTAGGTGTGCCCATGTATGCCTGCCCAACACAATCATTAGTCTCTTGGTTTTGGTGCTCCCTTGGTTCATTTAAATAACCCCTTCAGCTCCATCCTAGCAGCTCATTTCTCACAATTTTTGTTTTCCTTACCTGATTTACCTTGTCAATACCTTCACGACTTTCTCACCATGGCCTTGACCAACTCCATGTGTTATTATTCTTCCCTCATCACTCACTTGTCCCAGTACACAGATTAACCTGACCCTAGTCCCAGTGTTTGGCCCATGGAGAAATGAAGACATGTATTAAGTGCTGGACATGTAATTTTTTTCATCTTGCATTCAGATCTGTGTTTCTCTTGCACTGATGACTGAATCCCTTTGCAGCCCTCTGCAATTAAAAAAGGGCACCATTATTTGATTTCTGAAGACAGTGACTGCAGGTGCCTTGGTTTCTTTCATTAGACCAAACTGTTCAGTGCTGAAGTGGGACGAATCAGCCAAGAATAAGTGTATTTGAGTGGCCTGCCTCTATCGATAACATTAAATACAGCTCAAGAGGAAACTGTACTGGTGAGAATGATGGTATTCAAAAAGATAAATACTGTCTGGAAGGAACACTCTATGGTAGCTGGAACTTATACCGATGTATTAAGAGAGATGCATGGGCAAATTTTGTTGTGCACAAAGCTGTATTTGCACTCTGTGCTCTCCCTGTATCAAACCTACCCCTCTCTGTACCTCATGAGGAAGGCACAGGGAACAGAAACCTGTGAGGGGACACCTAGAGCGGCTTCTGGGGCAGTGCAAATAGTCAACAAAATGAAGACACATACCTCACGTATCCAAACCCATTAATATCTTATCCCTGAGTCCTGGCCATGGCAATTCACCAGGATTACCACATGTAAGACCATCAATCCTTAGGAATGTGTCCCTGTAACGTATCAAGACAGCATCACAAAAGCTTTTGTTTGGCAACGACAAACTCAAAGCAGAAACCACTGTGAAAAAAAAAACACTCCTTGAAAGCATGGAGCTAATTATACAGTACATTCTCTAATGAAGTAAGAGGCTTAGTGACTGTTTAGGAAGAAGTTAGAAGAAACAGAGGGGATTGAGGCAGTTTGCGTGGCAGTTTGAGCTGGCAGGTGAGCGGGATGGTGAGCACTCGCTGTATGACCAGGGCCCAGTCTGGGAGCTCTGCTCTGGCTGCCCCGGCGGTGGCCAGTGTAGGCACCCAGACAGAGCAGACAAGAGGGGAGGTTGCAGTGCAGAGCTTGGGGTGTAGAGAGGAGAGTGCCTGCACTGGTCTGGTGAGGGGAGGGTGCACAATGGGCAGGGCTGCACTCGGTGCTCCCTGGTGCAGGTCCTCCTGCAGCAGGAGCTGAGCTGCGGGATGCTGCCAATAGGCTGCGAGATGTCGGGAAAGCTGAGAGAAAGCAGGAATGCTTGCTCCTGGCCCAAACCGTGCAGGGGCCTCAAGCTTCCCCTCTAGCTTATGTGGGAAAGTAGGAGGCCGTTAACCTGGGAAGCTGGGAATTAGTGACAAAAAAAGCAACAAAAATAGGAGGAAGAGGACAATTAAAAGCAAGGGGCTTCCCCTAAATCCCCTGTCCCCCGCAGAACCGCTTTGCTGTCCTGCAGGGGGCTAATGAGGAAACTCACTCGAGACAGAAACAGCCGGCTGATGCCCTGGTAAAGAAGATCTCTACTGGTGCTGCCAGGAAAAAGTGGGGGGTCATAGTAATGGGGGACTCTACTTTGAAAGGGACAGAAGCACTCGTCTGTCGGCCTGACCCCATCTCAAGGGAGGTCTGTTGCCTACCTGGGGCACGGATCAAGGACGTGGCAGAGAGACTGCCTGCTCTAGTAAATCCCACAGACTATTACCCACTCCTGGTGACACATGTGGGTGCTAGGGATATAGATAGTAGTAGCCTGGGGAACATAAAGAGGGACTACAGAGCCCTGGGGGAGGTGGTTAGGGGCTCTGGAGCTCAGGTGGTCTTTTCATCAATTCTCCAGGATCCAGGGGAGGACCTAAAAAAAGCTAGGAGGATTGGCCAGGTTAATAAATGGTTAAAAGGGTGGTGTCATAGTCAGGGGTTTGGGTGTCTTGAACACGAGACCCAAGCTTATAGGCCAGGTCTAGTTGAGGCTGCTGGAGCTGGTCTGATAAGGAAAGGACAGAACAGTTTTGGCAGGAGGCTTGCCAGACTGGTCAAGGAGGCTTTAAACTAGATGTGTTGGGGGAGGGGGCATCATTCCATCCCAACACACCCAGTCAGTTGCCAGAACCTATAATAAATGCTTGGAGCAATGTAGAGATATCCCAGCCGCTCCAGCCAATGAGCTGAATTCATTTGGAGCTTGGCTCAGATACCCCTATACAAATGCCCGTAGCATGGGGAACAAAGAAGAGGAATTAGAGATGTGTACACGTCTACGGGGGTATGATATAATAGGCATTGCAGAAACACGGTGGGATGGCTCCTATGACTGGAGTGCTGAAATGGAAGGTTACAGGCTCTTTAGAAAAGACAGGCCTGGCAGGCGGGAAGGGGGAGTTGCCCTTTATGTTAGGGATAGGCTGGAGAGTATGGAACTCTGTCTGGGGACAGGTGAGCAGTCCACAGAGAGTTTGTGGGTCGGGGTTAAAGGGAAAACAGCTATCGGAGACATTACTGTGGGGATCTGTTACAGACCGCCTGATCAAGGAGAACCTCTGGATGAAGCACTCCACAGACAGATAGGAAAAGCCTCATGTTCACAGGCCCTTGTTCTCATGGGTGACTTCAACCACCCTGACACCTGTTGGAAGGACAGTACAGCCGGACACAAGCAATCCAGGAGGTTCCTCGATTGTGTGGAAGACAACTTCCTTCTGCAAGTAATAGACGAGCTGACAAGGAGAGGTGCCATGCTTGACCTTGTGCTCACCAACAGGGAAGGGCTCGTTGGAAATGTGACACTCCAGGGCAGCCTTGGATGCAGCGATCATGAGATGCTCGAATTTGAGGTCCTCAGGACAGTGAGAAGAGCATGCAGCAAGCTCACTGCCCTGGACTTCAGAAGAGCAGACTTTGGCCTCTTCAGGAACCTGCTTAGTAAGGTTCCATAGGATATAGACCTAGAGGGCAGGGGGGCCCAAGACTCTTGGTTGATATTCAAGGATCACCAGCTACAAGTTCAGGAGTGTTGCATCCCAACTAGAAGGAAGTGCAGCAGGAGGACCAGGAGACCTCCTTGGATGGATAAGGAGCTCCTGAGGAAAATTCAAATGAAAAAAAGAGGCTCATAAAAAGTGGAAGCAAGGACAGGTGGCATGGGAAGAGTACAGGGATGTTGTCTGAGAAGCTAGGGACCAGGTTAGGAAAGCTAAGGCCCAGTTAGAGTTAAACTTGGCTAGGGATTTTAAGGATAACACAAAGGGATTCTACAGGTACACAGCAAATAAAAAACAGACTAGGGAGAATGTAGCCCCCTCAGGAAGCTATTGGGAGAACTGGCTACACAGGATTTGGAGAATGCTGAGGTTCTGAATGACTTCTTTGCTGGGGTCTTCACTGGCAAAGGCTCTGACCAAACCACTCAAGTCTTGGAAGTCAGATGCAGGGACTGTGAAAATGAAAACCTTGCTCCCACTGTAGGAGAGGAACTGGTTCGAGACCATCTTAAAAATTTGAACATGCACATGTCCATGGGTCCTGATGAAATCCATCCACGGGTCCTGAAGGAGCTGGCAAATGAAGTGGCTAAGCCACTGGCCATCATATTTGAGAAATCATGGCAGTCACGTGAAATCTCCAATACTGGAAAAAGGGAAATAAAACACCCATTTTCAAGAAGGGGAAAATGGATGACCTGGGGAATTACACACCAGTCTCACCTCTGTGCCTGGCAAAATCTTGGAGCAGATTCTCCTGGAAGGCATGGTAAGGCACATGAAAATCAACAAGGTGCTTGGTGACAGCCAGTATGGCTTCACTAAGGGGAAATCCTGCCTGACCAATTTGGTGGCCTTCTATGATGGGGCTACAGAACTGATGGACAGGGGTAGAGCAGTTGATGTCATCTGACTGGACTTGTGCAAAGCGTTCGACACTGTCCCACACGACATCCTTGTCTCTAAATTGGAGCGACATCAATTTGATGGATGGACCACTTGGTGGATAAAGAACTGGCTGGATGGCCGCACACAAAGAGTTGTGGTCAATGGCTCAATGTCCGGCTGGAGGCCAGTAATGAGTGGTGTCCCACAGGGATCAGTATTGGGACCAGTCTTAAGATCTTCGTCACTGACATGGACAGTGAGATTGAGTGCACCCTCAGCAAGTTTGCTGACGACATCAAACTGTGTGGTTCGGTTGATACGCTGGAGGGAAGGAATGCCATCCAGAGGGAACTTGACAAACTTGTGAGGTGGGCTGATGCCAACCTTATGAAGTTTAACCATGTCAAGTACAAGGCCCTACACCTGTGTCGGAGCAATCCCAGGCACAGCTACAGGCTGGGCAAAGAACAGATTCAGAGCAGACCTGTGGAGATGGACTTGGGGGTGTTGGTCGATGAGAAAACGAACATGAGCAGGCAGTGTGCACTTGCAGCCCAGAAAGCCAACCGTATCCTGGGCTGCATCAAAAGGAGCGTGACCAGCAGGTCGAAGGAAGTGACCCTGCCCCTCTACTCTGCTATCGTGAGACCTCACTTGGAGCACTGTGTGCAGTTCTGGTGTCGTCAACATAAAAAGGACATGGAATGTTGGAACAAGTCCAGAGGAGGGCCACAAGGATGATCAGGGGACTGGAGCACCTCCCATACGAAGATAGGCTGAGAAAGTTGGGGCTGTTCAGCCTGGAGAAGAGAAGGCTGCGTGGAGACCTCATAGCAGCCTTCCAGTATCTGAAGGGGGCCTATAGGGATGCTGGGGAGGGACTCTTCATTAGGGACTGTAGTGATAGGACAAGGGGTAACAGGTTAAAACTTAAACAGGGGAAGTTTAGATTGGATATAAGGAGGAAATTCATTCCTGTTAGGGTGGTGAGGCACTGGAATAGGTTGCCCAGGGAGGCTGTGAATGCTCCATCCCTGGCAGTGTTCAAGACAAGGTTGGATGAGGCCTTGGGTGATGTGGTTTAGCGTGAGGTGTCCCTGCCCATGGCAGGGGGGGGGTTGGAATTTGATGATCTTAAGGTCCTTTCCAACCCTAACTATTCTATGATTCTAAGTCAGGAATGACTGTGTTTGATGACATGCACTAACGAAATTATTTGCGTTTGTGTATTGAGATAAATGGCAGCAGAATGATTTACAGTAATTTATACCCAGTGGTATAAATGACCCTGAGATGGTCTTATAGAACCAAAGAAAACTGGAGCCAGAAAGACATTAGTCTATCTGATGAAGGTAGTCGATTAAAAAAAAGTGTTATATCTAAAATGCTATGTCTGACAAGTACACTTGATCACATGACTAAAAACCTCATCTGAGATTGCTGAAAGCATTAAAAAAAATATTGCTGGATAAGGGTTAATACTAAACTGCATCTTACCTGACATATAGTAACCTCTTTTTTCTATTAATCTTATTAGACACTTTAAAACTTCTCCAACTGCTTGCTCCCTAACTTTTTCAAATCCCACCTTTCTCAAAAGGCAGCGCTGCTACAATCAAAGACCGCTTCATATCTCTAGCAGTCCCATTCATTTCCTCTATTACATATTACACCGGTTTCTTTACAGGATGATTTTGGCACAGGATAATCTCGTTATCCTGTAGGCAATCCTATTTCCTGGATACGCTCTCTTCAGTACAATCTTACCAAAAAACCCTGCTAAGGTTCACCTCACACTCACCTCTGGTCCATTTTCTTAAGTGAATCATATAACGTCTACAGCTCCCCTCTGGAGGGCAATAATGGCTTTAGCAGTCAAC